TAGCTGTACTTCTTCCAAGACAGATCGTTTTGTTGTTGTTCTTTTGGCAATCCGTAGGACTGTAAATCTTCATTGCTAGCACCATAATTAAAAAGCGTCAACTCTTCTTCAGTTTTCCCCATTAAACGTCCAAATCCACACGCATTTGAGGCGACTGAAACTATCATGGCTTGGGTCAAGGCTTGAAGTTAAGCCTCACAGGTAAATCACCAACTGAGAGTGCTCGTGCTCACCAACCCCTTAGAGTGGTCTTGTGCAAGAGATTGACCTAATGCAATACATTGCTTGATCTTTTGACTGATGCTTCCATTAGCTTTGGTTGTGGATCCAAGTAAAATGAAATCCTTACCTCGTCGATGGTTTCCTCTTTTGTCACAATGCTGTTTAATGGTCCGAGTGTTAGGATTTTTGTTCTCCTTTACATTCAGTTGTGTCCGTATTGAAGGCTTCAGTCCTTGATCTTTATCAACAAGTGTTTCAGGTCTTCCTCACTGTCAGCAAGCAAGGTTGTGTCATCTGCATTTCTCAGGTAGTTAATAACCTTTCCTCCAATCCTGTGCCATCTTCTTCTTCATAGAGTTCAGTTTCTGGAATTATTTTCTCAGCATACAGATTGAGATGAATGTGGATGGTAAAAGGCTAGAACCCTGATGCACTCTTTTGCTGGTTTTAGGCCATAAGTAGTCCCTTGTTCGGTTTACACAACTGCCTCTTGATCTATGTACAGGTTCTGCCCAATGTAAGTGTCTGGAATTCCCATTCTTCATGCTAGCCATAGCTTGCTATGATTCACACAATGTAACGGCTCAGCATAGTCAGTAAAACACAAGTCAACATCTTTCTGATGTTCTCTGTTTTGAGCCAAGAGGCATCTGACATCAGGAATGGTATTCTTTGGTCCACATCTTCTTTTGAATCTGGCTTCAATTTCTGGCAGCTTCCTGTCGAAGTACTGCTGCAACCATGTTTGAATGACCTGCAGCACAATTTTACTTGTATGTGATATGAATGGTATTGTTAGACAATTTTCACATTCTGTTAGATTTCCTTTCTGTGGAATATGTAAAAGCATGGATCCCTTCCTATCTTTCAAATTTCCTAGTATAGGTGAGTGAGAGCTTCCAGTGCTTCATGAGATTGTTGAACAATTGTTCAACAATCAAATGTTATTGTCATTCCTGGAGCCTCATTTCGGTTGAGTTCTGTTTGTATTTCTCCTTCGGTACCTTTGGTTCTTGGTTACACACTGACCTCTTTAAATGATTGAACGTCAACTCGTTCTTTTTGGTACAGTGACTCCACGTGTTCCATCCACTTTCTTTTGATGCTTCCTGCATCATTCAGTATTTTTCCCATAGAATCTTTCAATATTACAATTGGAGACTTGAATTTTTATTAAGTTCTTTCAGCTAAATATATGCAGCGTGTGTGCTTCCTTTTTGGTTGTCTAACTCTCATTCTTTTCATATTTCATTAAAATGCTTTACTTTGTCTTCTTTCATGGCGCTTTGAAATGTCGACTCTTCTGATGTTCGCTTTGATAGTTTCTTTCTTTCCTGTTTTATAAATGACCTTTTGTTTCTTCATTTATGATGTTCCTGATGTCATCCCACAGGTCATCAGGCCTTTTGTGATTAGTGTTCAGTGGGTCAAGTTTACTCTTGAAATATTATCAAAATTCGCCCGGCTCACCGCGCTTCCACCGCTGCCCGCGTCAGAGCTCAATTCCCCTCAAATTATAAAAGCAGGAAAACTCAAGGCAAAGAAAAGTAATAAGGCTAGTGATTTCAGCGACATGGCAAATTGGCCAACACCAAGTGAATTAGTGAACAATGGAAGTCAGAGTGTCATTAGTCAGGGAAATAAGAAACCACAAAGTAGAAAAGAAAAAGAAGAGAAGGTTGACAAGAGAAGCAACAATGAAAGCAACGAAAATCGGGAAACAAAATTAGATGTCTGTGGTGAAAATGTCAGTGAAGATGAGGCTCAGTCAACTAATCAAGGAAAGAGAGCTAATAAGCACAAGTGGGTACCACTCCACTTAGATGATGTGAGACCAGATTTTCAAGAATGACCAGGATCCCAGAACAGCTCCAGATGTCAACCTGAAGCAAATAAAACAGCACACAACAATAGATGCAATGATTCCAGAAGTTGGAGGCGAGACAGAGAAAAGAGAGATGATGAAAAGAAGTTTCCAGTGTGAGAAGTGAGGGGGGTAATATCCGAGGTCCCTCTAGAGGAAGAGGACGTGGAAGAGGACGAGGCAGAGGAAATCCTCGCTTGAACTTTGATTATTCATAGGGTTATCGAGAACATGGTGAAAGGACAGAGCAACCATTTCAAACAGAACTTAGCACCAGTATGATGTATTACTATGATGATGGTACAGGCGTGCAGGTATATCCTGTGGAAGAAGCATTGCTTAAAGAGTATATTAAACGCCAAATTGAGTATTACTTCAGTATAGAAAATTTGGAGCGAGACTTCTTCCTTCGAAGAAAGATGGATGAAGAAGGCTTCTTACCCATTTCCTTGATTGCTGGTTTCCACCGAGTTCAGGCTCTCACTACAAACCTTAATCTCATTTTAGAGGCATTGAAAGATAGCACAGAAGTGGAAATTGTGGACCAGAAAATGAGAAAAAAGATAGAACCAGAAAAATGGCCAATTCCCAGGCCTCCTCCATGGAGCGTGCCACAGACTGACTTCTCCCAACTGATCGACTGCCCGGAGTTTGTGCCAGGCCAGGCCTTTGGCTCACATACAGTCAGGGTGATGATCTACTGATGCTCTTGGATGTCATTTGATCGGAATATGCAGTGGAGTAGGTGAATCACTGAAATGCCAATGGACATATTGGAACAAGTTGTGCTGCAGAAATGAAAGCAGCCTCGACTGCCTTCTGTGCCAGCATGTCTACTCCCAACTCCTTTGAAGGATGTTGGGCCTCACCACAGTGGAGATAACCATCTTTGTGCCAATGCGGAGACACAGACCAGAGGACTGCTCTTGCTTTCCTAGGAGGTGCCCAATTTGTTTGTATTTGGCCTGGGTTGCACTGTGGGAAGGTTAATTATTATCATCCTGAAAATACTGCAAGAATTCTATCTTTTGCTTCTAGTGTTATGTACGCCAGTAATGCAGAAATAGACTTGACCGGCATTTCCCAGAATTTTAGGTTCTTGCTATTTGATTTACCCTTCAATATAGTGTACACTGCAAAACACATTGTTACAATGTTTCTCATGAACTCTTTAAGATTTATTCATGTGAACTTCAAGGGATAAGAAATTTAAAAAATGAACATGGGTATATTTTTCTTCATCCAAATGTATTTTTGATACATCAATATGAAGATCTGATCATCAATAACGCATTGATGATGGATTTTTTTTATCTTGCATTTTCTTTGTAAATAATTTGTTTCTAATCTCAGCAAGCAATTTGGGTAGGTATTTTAAAACTGAAAAAAAGTAGCATTGTTGGAGGTTTTTGTTTTTGTTTTGTTTTTAAATACACAGGGCTGATTGTATAAGTTAGATTTATTTATTGTGTAAACTTGGGGTCCAAGGTGATAGTTTTAACCTGCTTATGAGCAAGCACTTGATAAATTAGTTGAAATGGAAAATTCTTTTTCCACAGGGTAGCTGATTTAGGTCGATCACATTGGTGATGCCTGACCATTAACCATTTATGCATTGTTAATAAAATTACAAGAATAAATCAGAAAAAAAAGAAATATTATCAAAATTCAAGTAGAATATATTCAAAGTCATATTTTGGCTCTTGGGGACTTATTTTCATTTCTTTCAACTTCACATTGAACTTACATAGGAGCAATTGATGATTTCTTCCGCAACAAACCTCTGGTCTTGTTTTGGTTGTTAATATTGAACTCCTCCATTATCTTGTCCCACAGATGTAGTCAATTGGGTTTCTGTGTATCCCATCTGGAGAAATCCATGTGTATAGTAACTGTTTATGTTGTTGAAATGGTATTTGCGATGAAGAAGTCATTGGTCTTGCAAAATTCTATCATGCAATATACAGCTTCATTTCTATCACCAAGGCCATGTTTCCTCACAATCATTCCTTCCTTTCCCACTCCAGTTGCCAATAATTGTCAATGCATTTTGATGGGGTGCTTAATCAATTGCATACTAAAGAAGTTAGTCACTTAAGTGACTGGTGCATAAGTTTTAATGTAAGAAAGAATTTAAGTATCCCCAAATGGACGAATAGTTAATGAGTATGTCAAATCCACTCAGTGGAGTAGTTTTAATTTTATTAGTTAGAGGATGGTGGAAAGTGTGTGAAGGGTGGAACGTTTATATTTGTACTCTCTGTTCAGGAATTCTGTGATTTTACATCTAGACCACAATTATAATAGAAAGGACATATATAAATAATGATTAGTAATTCATCACATGGAGTATTAATTCTTAATAGGAGGGTCAGCGAAAGCGCCAACAGATCTAGCGTGTAGAAATGGCACAAATGCTGCAAGAGGAAAGAAAAGACTTTCCCACCACTGGACACGCCCACTTCTAGTTAGAGAACTGCCCATGAAGGGTCTGTAAGAGCAGCCCGGGGCTGTGGAAAGAAGGATTGCCTTGGGTGTGGGGAAGCACTAGGCAATGGTTCTCAAACTAGAATGTGTGTCAGCATCTCCTGGAGGGTTCGTTAGAAGATGAGTTGCCGGCCCCATGCCCAGTGATGTTTGATTCGGTACATCTGCAATGGGGCTCAAGGAAAAACATTTTAAACAACTTCCCAGGTGACAGAAATATGTGAGCCCTGGACCACAATTTGAGAACTGCTGACATAGAAGCACATTTTCCTGATAGTGTTTGTATCTACAATGTGCCAGCAAAGATATCCAGTGAGCTAAAATAAATGACTGCATGAGTTGCTTGCATTCAATTAAGGATAATAATTACCTATTTGAAGCTAATCCCACCCCCCACACTCTTCTTTTGAGGGAACCCAGAAGCCCCATGGAAAAAAGAAACCAAACAAGAATTGAAAACTTTCTCCTTCTGGGATTTTCAGAGGAAGTAGGCCTGAAACCTTTCCTCTTTGCCTTGTTCCTGTCCATGTACCTGATCACCTTCACTGGAAATCTACTTATTATCCTGGCCATCATCTCAGACTCCCACCTCCATACGCCAATGTACTTCTTCCTCTCCAATCTATCCTTCGCGGACATCTGTTTCACCTCCACCACCATGCCAAAGATGCTGCTGAACATGCAGACACAGAACAAAATTATCACCTATTCGGGCTGCCTCACTCAAATTTTTTTTTTCATTGTTTTTGGATGCCTGGACAATTTACTCCTTACCTCAATGGCCTATGACAGATTTGTGGCCATTTGTCATCCCCTACACTACACGGTCATCATGAGTCCCCAGCTCTGCAGACTGCTAGCTCTGGGCTCATGGTGCCTCAGTGTCATGGGTTCCCTGGTGGAAACCTTGACCATTTTGAGACTTTCCTTCTGTACACACATGGAAATCCCCCACTTCTTTTGTGACCTTCCTGAAGTCCTGAAACTCTCTTGCTCTAGCATCCTTGTCAATAACATAGTAGTGTACTTGGTGACTAGTGTCCTGGCTGTTTTTCCTCTCTCCGGGATCCTCTTCTCTTATTCTCAGATTGTCTCTTCCATACTGAGAATGTCAGCCCCTGGGGGCAAGTATAAAGCCTTCTCCACCTGCGGGTCTCATCTTACAGTTGTGTGCTTGTTCTACAGTACAGGCCTTGGGATCTACCTCACCTCCGCAGCCACATCATCATCTCAGACTAGTCTGATAGCCTCAGTGATGTACACCATGGTCACGCCCATGCTGAACCCTTTCATCTACAGTCTGAGGAATCGGGATATAAAGAGAGCCCTGGCAAAATTCATCGGTAGGACATCGACCTCTCAGTGATTGTGGGGCTCTCATGAGGAGCCAAAGCTCACAACGTTGTTGTTGTTGGGTGCTGTCACGTTGGCGCCCTGACTCACAGGAAACCCTATGTTTAACAAGCAGCACTGCCAGGTCCTGCGCCAGCTTCAGAAGCCCATTACTACAACCACTGCACCACCCATCTCATGGGGAGTCTTCCTCTGCTTTTCCGACCCTCTGCCCTGTTAAAGATGATGTACTTTTCCAGGGACCGATCTCTCCCAAGAACATGTCGAAAGTCCATGAGACAAAGTCTCGACATAATTCCTTCTAAGGAGCATTCTATAATACATATGTTTGTCTCTTGCCTGCTTGATACAACATTTTAATTGTCTGCTTCTATATATTTAAAATTTTTCCTCAACTCTTCCTTTGGAGTCTTTCTTGCCCTCTCTACTTTTCAGAAAGTGATATAATGAGTCTTCTCTTTACTGCAACTGTGTGTTTATACATCTTGGCCTTTCCTTCATTAACTTATGTAGATTTTAAAATGAAGACGTAAGCTTTATCACAAATAAAGAAAGAGAATATCAATTATTGGGATTTTGATTGTGTACTTATTTAGGAAATGACAGCCTGAAAATTCACTTACAGAGATTCTTTCTAAATATGTGAATGAAATCAATTAAATTAGTTCTCCGTTTTCACCTGGGGCACTTTTCTATCACACCAACTTTAAAGATTTATTTTTGTACTCATAAAAATATTTCATTGTTTGGTGACATTCAGCTGCTCCAACTTTATGTACAATAGAACAAAATATTACCCTGCTCAAGGCCATCCTCACAATTATGGTTATGTGGGATCCTAGCCGTACAGCCACGGTGTCACTCTAATGGGTCGCCCTCTTTTTGATGATCCTCTCCACATTCTGCTTATTAATGGATGTTTGCAGCTGTGCTTAATTTTGCCCCATCAGCAAATGAAGGTCCTGAAACCTTTGCTCCATCTACATCATTAAGGTCAATTCTACTTTGAGGAAGCAGCTCTTTTGTGTCCTATTTTGCATGCTTTCCCACCTGAAGAGCTCATCTTCTGGCCCTGGACCAGACAACGTTCCACTACTGTTCATAAGGTTTTCAATGGCTAACTTCTCAGAAGTGGACCTCCTCCTTCCTTCCTCCTAGTCTGTTCTTAGCCATGAAGTTCCCGTAAAACCTGCTCACCATGGATGATCCTGACTGTATTTGAAATGGTGGTGGCATAACAATAACATTATGGATTTCTTAAATGTCAGGAACATAGATTATCCATCATTGTAATCCCCATGTTTAGCTGGAGAGTATTCTCACTTGATATTTGTTGAATGAAATGACATACAAATGTGAGTAGATGAATAAATGCAAAGTGAAATCTGGACTACAAAAGGATAAATTCATTAAATTAATAGAAGCCTTTGAGCTAGGAAAAAAATTCAATTTCGCCAAATAATCATAGTGTTTCATACACATTACAACTGCTTGAACATTTTATATACCAAACCAAAATGAAATCCATAGCAATTATGTCATGTTGATGCTCTAGGAACCATGCTGATGCTATAGGACAGGGTAGAACTACCATCGTGAGTTCCTGAGACTCTAACCCTTTATGGCAGTAGAAAGCTTTGTCTTTCTCCCTCAGAGTTGGCTGGTGGTTTCAAAATGCTGACCCTGCAGCTGGCAGCCCAATGCATAACCACTCCACCATGACACCATCTCATTTAATGTGACGACTATCATTTTCCATTAATTACAGTAGAAGTAAGAGCTTCTAGAAACTAGGCCACTAACTCAAGGTCATATGTGTAGTGCAGAGACAGATTTCAATCCCAAGCCTGTCTAATGTTATTTCCACTCTTCTCAAATGTAATACTAAAATAGATAAACCTCAAAGAAAACAGGAGTCCTTCTAATATGAACCCTTATAAAATCTATCCCAATGGAGAAATGTTCTCTCTTGAGCCTGCACCCCTAGAAACACATCAATCCCAAGAGTCAGAGCTCTCCGAATCAGATTTTCCTTTCCTTGGACAGATCACCTTCCACTGGCAGTTCAAAGGAGATGTTGCTTTATTGCTTCCACACCTGGTACTTTATGGTTTCTTTGTGTGTTTGTTTGTTCGTAACAATTTTATTGGCATGTAATGCACAAATCATACAATTCAATGTTTCAATCATATTAGGAAGAATTTATAGCCATCACCACAATCAATTTTAGGATATTTTTATAGTTCTTAGCTTCCCACTTACCTCCAAACTCCCCCACCACATCCCCAAGGGGACACTAATCCAGTTATTGTCTCTATAGATTTATTGACCCTGGATTTCATATACAGAAAAAAAAATTTTTTTAAACCTAAGAGAAAGGACAAAGTAAAACGGAGAAAAAACTCAATGGAAAAGAAAGTTGAGAATATTAAAAACTAGAACAAACTTTAAATGGGTCAAAAGGGAGATCAAATGATAAGGTGTTACATTTTAACCTAATCACTCTTGATATATTTTTTAATCATTTTATTAGGGGCTCATACAACTTTTATCACAATCCATACATACATCAATCATGCACAATACATTTCTACATTCATTGCCCTCATCATTCTCAAAACATTTGCTCTCAACCAAAGCCCCTGGCATCGGCTCCTCATTTTTCCCCTCACTCCCCCCTCCCTCATAAATCCTTGATAATTTAGAAATTATTGTTTTGTCATACCTTTCCCAGTCCGACATCTCCTTTCACCCACTTTTCTGTTGTCCGTCCCCCAGGGAAGAGGTAATATGTAGATCCTTGTAATCAGTTCCCTCTTTCAAACTCGCCCTCCACCCTCCCATTACCGCCACTCACAGCACTGGTCCTGAAGGGATCATCCACCCTGGATTCCCTGTGTTTCCAGTTCCTATGTGTACCAGTGTACATCCTCTGGTCTAGCCAGATTTATAAGGTAGAATTGGGATCATGAGAGTGGGGGGGAAGGGGATCCGAAGCATTTCGGAATTACAGGAATTTCATCATTCATCATTGCTACATCGCACCCTGACTGCCTCGTCTCCTCCCAAGACCCTTCTGTAAGGGGATGTTCAGTGGCCTACAAATGGGCTTTGGGTCTCCACTCCGCACTCCCCGACACATTCACAATGATAGGATTTTTTGTTCTGATGATGCCTGATACCTGATCCCTTCGACACCTCGTGATCTCACAGGCTGGTGTGCTTCTTCCATGTGGGCTTTGTTGCTTCTGAGCTAAATGGCCGCTTGTTTACCCACCTTTGATATTTTCATCTGATAAATTGTTGTTAGGGAAATTGGGGCTCCTTAATATTTTTTACGAGTCCTGCTTGTGTAATGGTTATACTGTGGACTGCTAACCTTAGCAGTTGGAAACTACCAGCCACTACATCTACTCCCATAAACAGGTCCAGTCATTGAAACTCACAGGGAGCGTTATGAGTCAGCATTGAATCAATGGCAGTGAATGAGTCCGTAGAATGTATTACCGTTAAGCATATTTTCATATTAATGATTTATCTGTTAATTATCCTTTCTACATTATTACTTTAACATTTCTTCCATTTCCCTGAGATACTCTGATTAAGAGCAAGTTACAGAGTCTCTACTGACATCCACTTTTATCTTTTCTTCATTCCCTATCTTGCCAATGACCTTTGGCTTTTTTCATGTGTGATGCTCTTGTTATGATCCAACAGCTCCTCAAGCCTTCCACCGTTTCCAGAGGTAGCACAGAAGCAAGAGCTAGTGGTACGGAAGGAAGCAGTTCAGGCTGCACTAAAAGCATTAATCAAAACTAAGGCTCCTGCAATTGATGGAATACCAATGGAAATGTTTCAGCAAGCTGATGAAGCACGGAAACGCTCACTCATCTGAACCAGAATATTGAGAAGGCTTTGTCAACTCACTGGGCTCTTCCATTTTGACCCACAATAATGCTCAAATTATAAAACAATATCATTGATGTCACATGCAAGTAAAATGAACAGAGAACCAATCCAGGCCTTTCAACCAATTGATGAAGCACTCGCTTGCCAGTGCCAAGAAAACTGAAGCCAACTCTCAGGCCAACTGGCTGGACAAGATCCACATTTTTACCCATTCCAAAGAAAAGTTACCCACAGAATGGAGGAATTATCAAACAAGATTTATCAATATCAAATACAAGTAAAATTTTGTGAAGATCATTCAACACTCATTGCATCAGTACATCCACCAAGAGCTGCCAGAAGTTCAAGCACGATTCAAAGAGAAGGTGGAGCTGGTGGTATCATTGCTGACATCAGATGGATCTTAGCTGAAAGTGGGGAATACCAGAAAGATGTTTACTTATGTTTCATAGACTATGCAAAGACATTCAATTATGTGGATCATAACAAACTATGGAGAGCATCAAGAAGAATAGGAATTCCCGAACACTTCATTGTGCTCACTCATGAGGAACTTGATTTTGAACGAACAGGAAGTCGTTAGAATGAACTCAGGGAACACTGCATAGTTAAAACTCAGGAAAGTGTGCATCAGGGCAGTATCCATTCACCATACTTATTGAATGTGTATGCTGAGCAGAGAATCCAAGAAGCTGGACTATATGATTAGAAGACTATAAAGAAGACTGGGGCATCACTGTTGGAGGAAGGCTCAGGAATGTGATGTAGGTACCTGTGCAGATAACACAATCTTGCTTGGTTTCAGGGCTCTCTGGACTAGTGGTCAGGATTTTACTCTGACCATGCAGACCTAGTACCTCAATTTCTGTTAAGGTCAAGCCTAGCTAAGTTCCTGGGGGCTTGGTTGCCCCTTTCTGGGCTGGCCAAGGGAGGCAGAGCAAACTCGCTTTGTCTGGGGCCAAAGCTTTTTTGACACTTCCATTCTGTGGTCAGAAACAGCTCAATGGAGCCTAAATCCAAATGGACACTGAACACGGATTTGACTCCTAAAGTAAACTGGTGCTTTCTTAAAACTAGTACTCAAAAGTTACCTACAATAAGGAAGGAAGGAAGGAAGGAAGGAAGGACAGAGGAGAACCGGTGCCTGTAAACCAGCGGTTGTCAACCTGGGGGTCCAACGACCCTTTCACAGGGGTCACCCAATTCATAACGGTAGCAAAATGACAGTGATGAAGTAGCAAGGAAAATAATTTTATGCTTGGGGGGTCACCACAATGTGAGGAACTGTAGTAAAGGGTCGCGGCATGAGGAAGGTTGAGAACCGCTGCTTTTAAACTATGGTGTTAGAGAGAACAATATTGAACATGTCATGGCCTGCCAGAGGGACGAATAAAGAATGCTCCTTACAAGTCATGCTGGTGAAACTTCCTTTCCTTTGTTTCGGTCTAGATTCTGAACCCTGGCAAGGAGCACAAACCACGGGATAGGCCTTGGCTCCCTTGCTGAGTAATGGCCATCCTCTGGCCTTGGGAAGATCAGGACATAAGGGGCCTCCTGGGCCGGAGGCAGTGGGTACTTTCCTGGGGGGCACAAGGTGACCGCTGGTGGAGGGCTGCAGAGGGACTGGGCATCCTGACCGGGCGCCCTAGTTTGGACCCAGTGGACTGTCTTCTAGAGAGCCTTGTCCCCATAATAATGGCTTTGTTTTTACTTTGCAGCCATGTAAGGTGCGTAGATAGAGTGAGAGCTTTCGGAGTCACGTGGCCAGAGGCACTGAGCCAGCCCACCCTGCTGACCTAAGCTGCGCACTGCCCCATCCACCAACCCCGCCTTCCAAGGTCACTGTTGCCCCAGACCGCCAACCCACTGTGCAGAGGCCGGTAGCACAGCCAAGCCCAGCTTAGGCTCACTGCCTCCCTGAGTCTCGCTGGAGGCCCACAACCGGCCATTGCTGTCCCCATGCCTGCTCGGTCCGCCCCACCCTCCATCCTCCACCCCCTCCTCCCCCGGCTCGCAGCAGGTCCTCCTCCCAGTTCTGTCATGTCTCCCAGTCCTGCAGGAGCAAGAGGAGGGTTGAGGCGTGGAGAGTGGCGGGGCTGGCAGGAGGACGCGGGCGAGGTCCAGGGGTCGCCATGTGCCCCAGCGCCCCGGCCTTCGCCCACCCCACCCCGCCAGTCCTCAAACCCACCCCTCCGCGGCCCGCCCCGTTGAGCCAAGTTGGGCCGCACTCAGCCGACATCCATAGGTCTGGGGCACCTCCTATAACTTCTTCCAAGGCGTTCCTGAGACCCCCTGCTGAATCAGCCCCCGCGGCCTTAGCGTGGACACAGGGACCTGGAGCAGGGACGTTGTCCGGCCAGCATTCTCCTGCCTAGACTTGCAGGCTCTTTCCTGGTGCCTGCCTTTACAAGACTCCCAGTTAATATTGTCCGTAGGAGAAATCATCCCTGTAGTTGCAGGGGGTGGGGTGTCGGGGGAGGAGTCGAGGGAGTGTTAGGTGGGGGTACCGATCAAGCATTGACCCCAAGATGAGAAAAATGCTCCCATCCAAGATTTCTCCTCCAACTGACCTTGACCTGGCTTGGCAATGGCAAGAAAACCCCAAGGTCCAAGCAGGCTGGACCTGATCTGGTTTCCAAATCTTTCTGTAGCATAGATCAGATTTCAAGGTTGCTATGGTGAGTAGATGGTGCCAGCCGTCATGGGGTTCATGCAATACAATAACGATTATATATCGACCAAGCACATGCAAAATCTGCCTCTGGTAATAACATCGGCTACTTCCAAGGATAATATAACAGGAGGAAATGGCAATATTGAACTCTTAGCAGTGATTTGATAAGTGTGTGTATATACATACCCCCAGATGGGGAAGAACAACAGAAACCAGAGGGGAAGAGAGACAGCAGTCAGTGTGAGACTTGAAAATAATTAACAATCTACAATCTATCAGGGGACCATAAGGGTGGGGAGGGAGGGAAAAAAAGAGGAGCTGATCCCAAGGGCTCAATGGAAAGTAAATGTCTAGAAAAGAACAATGGAATATATGTATGAATATATCGGATACAATTGATGTATGGTTGGTTTGTAACAAGAGTTGTAAGAGCCCCCAATAAAATTATTTTTAAAAAGTAATAAAGAACTCTCGCGTCTGGCTGTCTGGAGGACGAGGTCCCGCTGGGCCCCCCGCCCGGACCTCGGTGCCCAGCGCCCCTCTCACCCGACTGCCCCCAAGCCGCCAGCCATGAAGTCTGTGCTCGCCCAGGACGCCTACCTGCAGGGCCTGGCGCGGAAGAGCTGCGCCCCGCCTGCCCCCGAGCCGCGCACCCGCCCGCGGGCTGGGAAAACGCGGGACTCCGAAGCAGCTGGGTCCCCAAAAAAGAAGAGGAAGAAAAGGCAGAAGCCTCCCAGTGAGCAGACAGCGAGGGCCTTGGAGCACAAGGCCCCGCCCCTGGGAAAAACGCCTCCAGCCCCTTCTGGGGCCAAGAAGCCAAAGTGGGCTGACAAGGAGGGGGCCACCGGACCCACCAGGACCTCAGCAGGACACCCGGCCACAGAGCCCGAGTCCCTCTTTGCCCTGGATGTTCTGCGGCAGCGGCTGCGGGAAAAGATACAGGAGGCCCGAGGCCAGGGCCCCAAGGAGCTGTCCCCAGCTGCTCTGCAGAAGAGGCGCCGGAGGAAGCAGGAGCGTGAGCGGAAGAAGAGGAAGCGCCAGGAGCTGCGAGCCCAGGAGAAGGCAGCCGGGGCTGGGAAGGGCGAGACAACCGCGGAGCCAGCCCTGGACCCGGAGCCCCCGGAGCCCGCAGGGCTGATCTTCAACAAGGTGGAGGTGGGCGAGGAAGAGCTGGCCTCCAGCAAGGCGCAGCGGCGGAAGGAGAAGCGGCAGCAGGTGAAGGGCCACCTCACGCCCCTGACGGGCAGAAACTACCGGCAGCTGCTGGAGCGGCTGCAGGCGAGGCAGGCGAAGGTGGAGGAGCTGCGGGAGCAGGACGTGGGGCGGGCGCGGGAGCTGGAGGCCAAGATGCAGTGGACCAATCTGCTGTACAAGGCAGAAGGGGTGAAGATCCGCGACAGCGAGCCACGGCTGCAGGAGCCTCAAGCGCAAGGAGAAGCGGCGAGCGTAGCGGGCGCGCAAGTGGGAGAAGCGCACGTCGCACGTCATTGAGAAGATGCAGCAGCGGCAGGACAAGCGGCGGCAGCACCTGCGCAGGCAGAAGGCGGCCAAGGCCGAGCGGCGCATGGAAAAGGCCCGCAAGAAGGGCCGGATCCTGCCCCAGGACCTGGAACGGGCCGGCCTGGCCTGAGGGGACAGTTGACCCGAGGCCCAGCCCCCTGTCCACCCAGATCCTCTGTCCACCCAGGTCCTCCATCCTCTGACGCTCCAGGAGACCCTAGGCCAGTGCCCACCATCCATTGGGTTGGCTAAGAATGGACTCTGGTGCTTGCCCCGAAGGGGCATGAGAGTGGAGAAACCCCCGACGGAAGTCTGGTCAACACCCGCCTGGAGCTCCGGGTGCGGGCAGGAGCCAGGCCAGCTCCAGGATGCCCTTGAAGGCCCCGAAAGCCCCAGAGGTGGCAGGGCCTGGAGAGAGGGGCCCCAGGACGTGAATTAGGCATCTGCCGGGAGGAGTGTCCTCCATGTGCTCAGAGCTCCCCGTCCTTGGTGGGCTGGGCTGGAAACGCTTTGCAGAATTAAATGGTTTCTTCTAATAAGCAAAAAAAAAAAAAAAAAAGTAATAAAGAACAATGATTTTTAAAAATTAATAAAGAAAAAACAACAGCAAAATGAAAAAATAAGTGTGTGTATATATGTAAAAATCCATCGAATTGTACACTAAAGGTAAATTCACTTTATGTAATTTACTATGTGTGTTGTGCCTTATTCATTTATTTTTTTTAATAAAAGCTGTTTATAATGGTCATTTTTAAAAGTTTGTCACTGTTTATGTGTTGTTCTTCTTTTTTTAAATCATTTTATTGGGGGCTCATACAATTCCTATCACATTCCATACATCCATTGTGTCAAGCACATATGTACATTTGTTGCCATCATCATTCTCAAAACATTTGCCTTCTACTTGAGCCCTTAATATCGGCTCCTCATTCCCCCCCTCCCTCCTCACTCCTCCTCTCTCATGAACCCTTCATAATTCATAGATTATTATTATTTTGTCTTATGTTACACTGTCCGACGTCTCCCCCTCCCCGCCCCCACCCTCTTTCTCTGCTGGCCCAGGGAGGAGGCTATACGTAGGTTCTTGTAATCGGTCCTCCCTTTCCACCCCACATTCCCTCCACCCTCCAGGCATCGCCACTCTCACCACTAGTCCTGAAGGGGTCATCTATCCTGGATTCCCTGTTTCCAGTTGCTATCTGTACCAATGTACATCCTCTGGTCTAGCCAGATTTGTAAGGTAGAATTGGGATCATGATAGTGGGGCGAGGAAGCATTTAAGAACTAACGGAAAGTTTTATGTTTCATCATTGCTACCCTGCACACAGACTGGCTCATCTCCTCCCCACAACCCTTTAGTAAGGGGGTGTCCAGTTGCCTATCTCTGGGCTTTGAGTCTCCACTCTGCACTCACCCTCATTTACAATGATAAGGGGTTTTTTGTTCTTTGATGCTTGATACCTGATCCTTCGACAGCTTGTGGTCACACAAGCTGATGTGCTTCTTCCATGGGGGCTTTGTTACTTTTAAAAAGAAAAAAACTTTTTCCCTGCTGTTCGTCTTAAGGACTGGTATCTACCTGCGTATCGTTGCCCTAGGAAACTTCCCTCTCCACGTGTTTTGGATCTTAGAGCGCTCAGCCTGGGTTTTCACAGCCGACGCCCTGCTCCTGGTAACGTGACATGCAGAAGGCAAACTATGAAACTGAAGCCAACTCTTCAGACTTCTAGGATTCTAAAGATGGGCAAAGAGTCATGAGGCGCAAACACGCCATTTCCTCTAGAGAATCCTATCAGATTTGTCAATTAGCCAACGACCAAACTCTCATTGCTCCCTCATGGATACTGGAATCTGCCTTTAAGATTGAATACACTTTTAGGCAGCCACACCACCTTGTTGCTTGGGGTCTCCGGATTAGAAGATTACATAACCATGTCCTTTTCCATTGCTTTATTTCTTGACAAGTATGACTTAAATTGGTATGCTGGCGACACTATTGGAAAAAAGGCTAGTTTTGTGTTGGGATGTCTGGTAAATATTTATTAAAATAAAGATAAGAGGAAAGCAACAACAACAGAAAGATTGAATACGCTTTTCAGAAAAAGTGGGCATTTCTTTTCAGAGGAAATAAAGTCAGCAGTCACTCACTACAATGGAGTCAGTTGAGTCAATGGGAACAAAGAGCCCAACCCTTCACCCACGGAGCTACTGGTGGCCTTGAACTGCTGACCACGCAGGTCACAGCCTCACTCACAACCACTACACTATTCTGACACCACAGCAGCCAGGAGCCACCCTTCCAGCCCAAATTGAGGCGGGAAGCCACAGAACCCAAGGTCACCAGCCGGAGCCCTTGGGCGGGATGCATTTGGCTCTTCGCGGTCCAGATGGCAGCAGTGGAGTCTGCGTGGTGAGGTGGTGGCGGGGTTTGGCTGCCCTTCTTCGTGGGGAGGGGTGGGGGGATGCGGTGTCCGGCGCGTCCTGCAGCCCCGTCTGGGGTCCGGGGGCACCGCGCCATCTCCCTAGCGTGGTCACGGGCCCTCCGCGCTCCCCTGGCTGCTCCCGAGCCGCGCTGCGCCCCCGGAGTCCCGACGCCTGGGCCCAGAAAGGGCCACCCGCGCGCCCTGGGCCCCCAGATGTCTGTCCTGGGAAAATCGTTCTTGGCGGAGCAACAGTCTGGGTCCCAGACCAGCCGCGCCCGCTTCCCCAGGAGTCTGTGAACACTGCAGAGTCCCAAGTTGCCTGTGTCTAAGGGCCCGGCCCCCACCCACTCTAGTCTGCCCCTCACCAGGCTCCTGCTCCCCCACTTCCAGCACACACAACCCCACTCACCAGGTCTTCCTCACAGCCCCGCCCCGCCCTGCGTTTTTATGGGCTTTATCAAAGCAGGATCCACTGCTGGCTAGACGGAAAACGAGTCCACTTTCTCCCACTTTTTCTCATGTTTCAAAAAAAAAAAGGAGAGCACTCTCCACCCAGCAGCAAGAGGCATGTTTTCAAAATGTAAGAGCCCAATAAGACAAGCAGCAACATAAACATTACAATCCATATAGTTTACTTTGCCCAACAAGACACGCCATGTTCCGGCTTAGGTATAGCTTTCTGACTTAGGTTGATCGATAACACTCATCCTCATATTAAGTAAGTGCTTGACACATGTTTTAAAACTTTTGCAAAGATGTCAAGGTTTGCCCCTGCCTTTTGTCCTTTGTACCAGATATTTGAGGACTTTTTTTTTATCCCAAGGAATCACTTTTTTTTTTTTCATCTTGAAGTTCTACTTGCAAATACAGCCTTCTGAGCATTCCCCTCAGTTACTCCCACTCATTTCCATATTTAAATACCACCACACTTTTCAAAACGTAGTAAATGCCATCTAGGTCGTTATTAACACTACGCATGGAACTACATCCAAATCAAAGGCTCCCTTTGCTTCTGTCTGCTCTGTGGGTGTGCCACGCTTCCAGCAAAGAGAAAGGCACAAATCTCAGCACGGTGGTCATGGCGGTTTCCCCATCCTCTCTGCTGTGTCTGGCAGTTAGTGTTCTGGTGAGCGCACTTGAACTGTGCTGTTCATAAGGCAGATGCGGCTATTCACAATGAAAATAAATGAAACTCAAAAGGAATAATGAATTCATTTCCTAGTCATAGATGCAGGGCTAACTGTTCACATGTGGCCGCTGTTGTTCGGCGCCACCAAGTTGGTTCCAACTCGTCGCAACATGAGACACAGCCAAAGGAGACATAGCCTGGTCCCGTGCCATCCTCACACAGTGTGGGGTGAAGG